CAGTCGTGTTAAATGATCTGCTCCTCCGAAAAGGATGAGGAAATCTCAGCAACTTGCTCCAGTTACATCTGGTCAAAGAGCATTCTGGTTTGACTGACTATAGCTAGGAACAGCCTTGGACCTGCAAAATGTCCTTGGATGTAGCTGTCTTCTTAGAGAGAACTAAATGAAGTCTCAGGAAAAACTTTGTGCTTCACAGCCACCTTATTCTATGTTAGGTTTGTCAGTGCCATTTAGTCAGGCACGGACTAAATCTCAGGAATATCTGATGAGCCAGTTGCATTTATTGCTCAGTATAGCAAAGGATAACATATTTCGTCGGGGAACCCTGAGATGTCTCAGTCTGAAGATGTTAGAAAGAACCTACTACAGGATTTGTGCTATGACTGGGTGATTTCAGGGAGGGTCTAAGGAAGTGGTAGTTCGCTCCAACTGGATGTTGTCAGAAAGCAAGGGCAATTCTGTGACTACGGTTTTTGTTTGTTTTTTTTGTTTTTTACTTTAAATTCTGGAATACATGTGCAGAATGTGCAGGTTTGTTACATAGATATACATGTGCCATGGTGATTTGTTGTGCCTATCAACCCGTCATCTATGTTTTAAGCCCCACATGCATTCGATATTTGCATGACTAGGTATCTTAACAAATGTAATCTATAGAGAAAGCAGAGAAGAAAGAGAATAAAGCTTCTCTTTTACCTTTCTTCTGAAAGATAACAGTCACTCGTTTTACAGTGAATGTCTGATATTTTATAGATAGCAGTAACTTTGTTTTTGTCTATGCTTAGACAAAGTGGTCTTGTTTTGTCTCATTTTATTACTGTCTTAGAGAGATCTTGACTGAGGTTGTATTCTGTGAGATTATGTCCAACAAGAAAATAGCTATGAGTATCAGACCAGCTGGAAAATCTTAGAGGTTTGCTATAATACCAAATAAGTTATGGATGTCTGGGGCTGTTTTTCTAACTTTGAGCTTGTAAGATTTTTTTTCATTGGCCACATGGTAGACTCAGTTAGAGAGTTAGAGACACGTTATTGGTGGATTGATTAATCAGTCCATCAATTAACTAATATTTTGTTCCACCTGTGAGAGGTTTGAAGGATGACAAAGACACTATTTCAGTTTTCTTAGAAAAAATAAACAAATTAAGGAATGCCCCAAGGGAAGTAAATAACAAGCACAGAACTGTCTCTTGACACTGTTCTCCTTTTAAAAGCAGTAAATGTGTCCTCAAGGATCAGAATATACAAGCTAACTTACTTCCTGGGAGGCTCTACTTACACCCCTCCATCCTTCAGCAAACAAAATCAGAATCCTTATCACAGTTTCCACCTTTTTTCTGCTCTCTAATAATTACCAAAAAGACTACCATTTCTCTCTAAGAAAATAAAAAAAGAAACATCTGAGGACCTTCAGTTTGGGACTTTCTTTGCTGATACAGGTAAAAAAAAAAAAAAAAAAAAAAAGATACAGTGTTTAGAAGAGAGAAAAGTCATAGTATAGTTGCAGAATTGAATAGCCTCTACCCACACCTCTCTTTGAATTCACTACAACACACATACAACCAATATTTCTTAAGCTCTTACTGATCATGCAGTAGTCAAGGTACTCCACCTCATACACTAATCTTTACAACAGACCTTAAGGAAGCCATAATTATGCCCATTTTTTAGTTAAGGAAACTAAGAGAGTATTAATTTCCTATGACTAGTATAGAAAACTCTTGACTCTAAATCCAGGACTTTTTCTGTCTTGTACAGCTGCCTACCACTTGTCCCAATCTGGAAAATTATCTTATCCTGACTTTTTAAAGTATTTTCTAGAAACAGATTACCCAGCATTACAGACATGGCAGCCCCATCACTGAACCTGTGCAAAACAAACAAGAGGTGAAACGTGTGTTGTGATGAGACATCTCTGGGCTGGCTGAGGAGCGGGCCAACCAAGCAAGCTAGGTGCCCAGACTTCCAGTGCATGGAAGTTTGGGGGAACATTAAAGCATCAGAGAAATGCCTTCTCATCACACTGCATGTGAGACAGTTTGGCTCATTCAGTCATAGTCTATCTTCACCACACTTTCTGGGGTTGACTAATTTAACAAGTAAACAGATTTTTTAAAGCAGTTTTTGTTGTTAATTAACTTGATCCAAGCAGCCCGAGTACAAAAACCCAATGTTGTGCCCACGTTCACAGTGCCCTCTACAGCCAATGCAGGGTGAATCCGCTAGATTTTTTTCTTTCTTTTTCTTTCCCCCCTTTGCTCCAGCTGGGATTTGTGGTGAGTAAACATCATAGCTCCTTCTGCACGGAAGAGATAAGTAACAAAAGGTAAGTAACAATACAGTCTGGTTAAGACTGCTAACTCAAAAAGACATAGAGCCATTATGCAAAAATATAACCACCCAAAGTCATTCTGCCTGAGGTGTTCCCAAATAGTGATTGGGAAAGGAAACAAAAAATGTAAATTTTTTTCTTCTTTTCAAGTTTCCTGCTACACCTATCTTAACGTTAGATCACTAATATCAGGTTCCACCATTTAAACAACTAGAATAGGAACCAATTGACTCTGTAGACTCATATTCCCAACTCAGACAATCAAAGACCTGTTTCAGCAAGACAAAATTAAACCTGATTCTATCCCTCAGCTCTATCTGTCCTTAATGGCTGGGGAACTATTTTAACAGAAATGAGAAGCCGCTACCTACTATTAATTTGAATGTTTTACTCCTGAAATTGGTAGGCTGCATTACCAAATAGCATGAATCAATGAGTTAGTTCACTAGCTCAAAAAAGAAAAGTGATTCCAAATAGTCCCAGGGTTCTTTGTCCCACAGTCCCACAGTCTGAGTCAGCCTTGCCCACAAGTATTGCGTGGATAAGATCCCTTTCTGGGAAATAAGAAAGTTTGTTTATTCATTCATTTTATGGATATTTATTGAAAGCTTTCGAAGTACCAAACACTGTGCTAATGCCCAATCACCTCTGATAAAGTAACTTCTCCAATTGATTTCAAGCCCATGACAAAATTCTATTTGAAACTTGATGTTCAGGAAGATTCTGTTGAGTGAACCAATTCAAAGAATTTTCCCTTGGTAGGGGCATATAGGAAAAGTCACAGGTACAGTAAAGAATGTCTGGTTTAAATAATAACATGGATAACAGAATTTATCTCAACAGATAATGAACTTCCTAGAGAGGCAATAAATTACATCATGCCTTGAACTATTCTCCTGAGCCACGCTTGGGAAGAGTTTTCTTTATCAATTCTGCAATATTCTCTCTTGAAAGCAGAGCAGTTTTGCTATAACCACTACTCTGAATAAAAAGTACTTCCAAGAAGAAAATTATCCAGGGTAACATTACCAAAAGAGGAAAAGAAATTGTTAAAATGCAGCCTATGTGTCATTCTCAAGACTCCAGTAAATACAGTCCTTAATGTTAGAGAAGGATATTCACAATAAGAACTCTGATATACTGCCAATGGTAATAAAATATAGTGCAATAATTATAGAAATCTTTAGCTCAATTTTCTACAGATGAAGATACACACCTCCTATGATCCAGCTAATAGAAATCCATGTACATGTGAACCAGGAGAGATAAACTATATAGTCATAGTAACATTATCCCTAATAGTCCCAAAAGAAGTAAACCAAAATATTGACCTGTTGTAGAATATTTAAATAAATGATGGTTTGGGTCAGGCGCAGTAGCTCAGGAATGTAATTTCCAACACTGTGGGAGGCTGACGCAGGAAGATCACTTCAGCTCAGGAGTTCGAGACCAGCCTGTGCAACATGGCAAAACCCTGTTGCCACCAAAAAAACAAACTAACCACACACACACACACACACACACACACACACACACACACACACACACACCATAAAATTAGCCAGGAGTGGTGGCACATGCCTGTGGTCCCAGCTATTCAGGAGGCTAAGATGGGAAGATTTCTTGAGCCCGGATGGCTGCAGTGAGACAAGATGCACTGCCCTCTAGCGTGAGTGACAGAGAGAGACCCTATCTCAATCTTTTTAAAAAGCGTTGGTTGATTCATACAATGTAACAGTACAGAGCAGTAAAGAATTGTCAGAATACAGATATATACAACAGCATAAATTTCACAAACTTACTGTTGAATCAACAAACCATCCAAAAATATGACAGTATTTCATTTATGCAAAGAACAAAACCAAGCAAGACAATACTGTACCATTGTTTAGAGGTACATGCTTAGTTATTAAATTGTAAAGAAAAACAAGGAAGTGATGATTATAAAGAAGAAAGAGTGTTATGATTGGTAGGAGGGAGGGACAGAGAGTGATGGGGATGGGGCATGTGAGCAGATTCTAGGACACAATATTCTGTTTCTTGATCTCAGTGGTAGTTACAATGATGTTTCATTTATGATCTTTTATTAAGATATATATTTATGTATTGTGCATGTTTCCATACATTCCACAATAAGAAAACTTCTGTGTTTATTCACTGATACTGACTTGTAGTGTATTTTATAGACCAACAACTATTGTCCAAAAGGACAATGTTTCAGGATTAGGCAAAAATAGTCAATATTGGCTAGACACAGGTGGCTCAGGACTGTAATCCCAGTATTTTGGGAGGCCAGGCATGAGAATCAATTGACCCCAGAAGTTTGAGACCAGCCTGGGCAATATAGGAAGACTCTCTACAAATAATTTTTAAATTATCTTGTTATGGTGGCACATGCCACATGGTGGTCCCAGGTACCAGGCAGGATTGCTTGAGCTAGGGAAGTCAATACTGCAGTAAGCCATGATTGCACCACTGTACTCTAGCCTGGGCAACAGAGCAAAACCCTGAATCAAATATATAGATAGATATAGATATAGACATAAATAGATAGATATTGATATCTATTGATAGATGTGCTTATTGCATTCCCAGAGATAGTTTAAACATAAATCTAAGTTCTCATCTATCCTTTCACTGGCATCCAGTAATTGCTGGTGCTTTTACAGCTCACAGGCACATGAAAATCTTCAACACCTCCAGCAACTCCAGCACCTTCACTGGCTTCATCCTCCTGGGCTTCACTTGCCACAGGGAGGGGCAGATCCTCCTCTTTGTGCTCTTCTCCGTTGTATACCTCCTAACCCTCATGGGCAATGGTTCCATCATCTGTGCTGTGCACTGGGATGAGAGACTCCACACCCCCATGTACATCCTGCTCGCCAACTTCTCCTTCCTGGAGATCTGGTATGTCACCTGCACAGTCCCCAACATGCTGGCCAACTTCCTCTCTGACACCAAGATCATCTCCTTCTCTGGGTGCTTCCTCCAGTTCTACTTTTTCTTCTCCTTGGGTGCTACAGAATGCTTCTTCCTGGCAGTTATGGCATTTGATAGATACCTTGCCATCTGCCAGCCTCTGCACTATCCAACCATTATGACCAGACATCTCTGTTCCAATCTCATGGTCAGTTGCTGGGTACTTGGCTTCATCTGGCTCTTGATTCCTATTATCATCATCTCCCAAATGTCCTTCTGTGGATCCAGGATTATTGATCACTTCCTATGTGACCCAGGTCCTCTTCTAACACTCACCTGCAAAAAAGCCCCTGTGATAGAGCTTGTCTTCAACATCTTAACTCCTCTGCCTGTCTTTATGCTCTTTCTCTTCATCGTGGGGTCCTATGCTCTGGTCCTGAGAGCTGTATTGAGGGTCCCTTCAGCAGCTGGGAGAAGAAAGTCTTTCTCCACCTGTGGGTCTCACCTGGCTGTGGTTTCACTGTTCTGTGGTTCAGTAATAGTCATGTATGGGAGCCCAACATCTACGCATGAAGCTGGAAAGCAGAAGACTGTGACTCTGTTTTATTCTGTTGTTACCCCATTCCTTAACCCTATGATATACAGTCTTAGGAACAAAGATATGAAAAAAGCTCTGAAGAAATTTTGGAGATTATAAAATGTTAATGAAAAAGTCCTTGTGTAACTAATCTTCTCTTTAATTTTGGGGTTTAAAAAAAACTGGTTTTATACAGTTAATTGTTCATCTTATTGGCCAAAGCTAAAACACCTGTGAGCATGTTTCTGTTATTTCTTCTTTTAGATCTTGGTTATTTGCCCAGTCGTCTGGATGCCTCAATGTTTTTTAATTGACTGCTGGGAATTGTATTTTAAAAACTATAAAGACAATGTGTGTGGTCATGAGGTTAAGTTGTCTTCTAGCCAGTAGATGGAGTAGAGGCAGATCACACGGATTCTATTTAAGCACTACTTCCATGTGTTTTTAAAATGGTCTGTGCTAGTTTCAGTTTTACTCCGAGCTTGTGGTTTTTACTGCAGGAACATAGCCCTTCTCAGACCTCAGGTGCAAGTCTGGAGTGTTTAGAAGACCCCTCCACTTCAGCTGATCCTGGCCTCCTACTTCAGTACTTCTTGAAGCCCATCACCTTTGAAACTTCTTTGCTCTTTACACTCTCAGCTTTAGTCTCTGCTAGCTATTCTGAGGTCTCACCATGTACACATATAGCTTAGAAATCCAAAAATGCCTTGAAGGGAAATGGCAACAAATCCTCCCCTCTCCAGGATTTGTTCCTCACATGCCAGCTGCTTTGGCAACTGAAAACACCAAATTCTCTCCCTTCTCAGTTCAGTAAAACTACTGCTTTCTGCTCAAGCTTTATTCCTCCTTTCCCCTCTTCCTTCCCAAATGCCTCCTTATCCTCATATTCTCCCAACCATTAAATGGTTAAATATCCTCAGGGAAAAACACATGGTAAATGTGAAACTCACCTCCCTTTTCTTCCTTTCGTCTTGGACTGTAGCCCATGAAGTCTTGCCTACGTCAGTGCTCTGAGTGCCTTCAAATAATTGTTTTATGCATTTTTGTCCAGATTTTGCTTTTGATGTAAGTTACTTTTGGTTTAATACAAGCTTTTCAATCATGACCAGAAAGTTTTTTATATTCTGTCTAGATTCCATACATTCTCACTTCTTCCTTCACTTTCACAAGATGATCATGTAGTATGTATGTTCAAAAGTCCACAAACTGGAGAGACAGGTAGATACAGAGGCCAGCAGAAACACTTATCTGGGATGCAGACCTGCTTTTCTTTTCATTGCAACCAGCAAAGAATCCCTCAGAGCTCTTCCGCTGCAAGAAGCAGGGAAAGGCTGCTTATGGTAAAATACATGATAAAACCAGGACCACAGATTTAGGCCTTTTTTTAATGGAAGGCACCCAATAATTGTAGATCGGTAAAAATAGTTACTCAGAATTTGTATTAGAAGCTTGGGCTAGTTCTCCTTGAACTTTTTCCTAGGCCTGGACTGAAAGGTCATGCTAAGATTGAAGTGTCTTCACTAATCCAAATGCCTATTTTTTGGGTGAAATAGACAGGAATTGGAAATGAGGAAGAAATTTTCTAAGGATAATGACTTTAAGAATTACAAAAAAAAAATAAGTTTCTATCCAACACCCTTTTAACTAGTCCAAGTTCCCTTTACTTTGAAAAGTAACCCTGAGTTTCTCTTTAGGACTTCTCACTTATTTGCCAGTCATATCACAATCCTGAGTTTCTCTTTAGGACTTCTCACTAATTTTTCAGTCATATCACAGTAAGGTTGTTCTGTTAATACATCTGAAGCTCTGTAAAATAGCAGGAGAACAGAACAGCATCCCAGTAAGAAAATGAGCAAAAGGATATAAACAAATAACATCCAGAAAGATTCTTAAACATGTGGAAAGGGTACTAATTCATAAAAAGATAAAAGAATACGCCTATAAATATATCTGACTTTTTACCTATTAAATTGACAAAGATCAAGAAGTTTGATAACACACTGTATGTCTGAGGACTGTGAAATGGGTTCTCTCACACTTATCTGGTGGGCGTATAAGTTTTACAAACACTATATAGGGTGACAAGGCAACCTCTCTCAAAATTTCAAAGGCACATACCCTTTAAAACAGCAACTCAAATTTTAAGGTGCTTAGGCTACAGATATTTTTTTTTTGACACAGGTGGGAAATGATGAAAGTACAGGAATATTTACTGCAGCATTGTTGTAATAGCAAAATACTAAGAAAAACATCAGTTCCCATTAATAGAAGACTAGTAAAATGACTATGATGCATTATACTTGTACCATGGAATATTATGTCTTCAATTTATAACCTATGAATCAGTTCCATATGTAGTGATATATAATATGTCCAAGACATACTGTTAAGTGAAAAACAAAGTGAATGGCAGAGTGTACTGTAGCTGCCTTGCATGGAAATGTGTATATCTCCTGAAAGAGCTCCAAGAAACTGATAACAAGGGTTGCTTCAAGCAAGAAGAATTTGATGTCTAAGGAACAAGAGAGTAAAGGAGACTTTTTTCATAACCCCTTTTGTGCTTTCAAATTCCTTACTATGTGCCCACATTATCTATTTACAAAATAAATAAAACACATTTTGTTGAAAATGTTTTATTTCCATAGATTATTGGGGAACAGGTAGTGTTTGATTATGAGTGAGTTCTTTAGTTAAATAAAAAACAATTTTCTAGGGGAACTTTCTGATCATTAGATTTGGAAAATCATCTTTTCCCACAATTATAGGTTTCCTTAGGAGCCTGTTTACTGATAGAAAAGTTGAAGTAGGGTCTTCGGAGCCCCTTAACGTCACTTCACTCAAACAGTTTTGTATTTTAGAAAAACCCTGAGCTATGTATTCCTCATCTTAGGGCTTGTACAAATATCCTGTTATAAAACTTTAACTAGTTTTATCACATTTATATTTAGATATCATCTCCCTTATTTTTCAATCATTGATTTTTATTGCCATTGTTCAGTACCTACAACGTACCAAACATTGAGCCAGAAAATGAGTCTGAGCCAAAGGTGTGTAAGACACATTTTCTTCTCTCATAGGATTCAGTCTCGTGATAGAGATACAAAATTGCAAGGTTTTCTTTTTGTTAAGTAACAGAAGTTCAGTGAGAGGGAAGGCCTAATTATTATTAGGTAATCTATTCCGTGGAAGCTCATGGGAAGCTGCATGTGAGTGAGCATATAGCGTCTGTGAAAGAGGTTGTACGCATAGCATAGGCATTGTCTTTTTGCAAGTGCACCTCAGGTTACAGAATAGAAGTGCTTCTAGAAACTATCTTACAGCATCATATAATCAACCACTCCTTGTGGTTACTACAAAGGTCCCAGAGACAAAGCAAGTTTGACTCTAAAATATAATACAGGCCGCGTGCGGTGGCTCATGCCTGTAATCCCAGCATTTTGGGAGGCCAAGGCAGGTGGATCACCTGAGGTCAGGAGTTTGTGACTAGCCTGGCCACCATGGTGAAACCCTGTCTCTAATAAAAATGCAAAAAAAAAAATTAGCCGGGGATGGTGGTGCATGCTTGTAATCCCAGCTACTCAGGAGGCTGAGGCAGGAGAATCACTTGAACCTGTAAGGCAGAGGTTGCAGTAAGTTGAGATCATGCCATTGTACTCCAGCCTGGGCAACACGAGCAAATCTCCATCTCAAAATAATAATAATAATAATAATAATATAAACTAAAGACCAAAGAGAGATATTATTTAAAATGTTAAGGAAATATCGATTTTAGTAATGGAAAGTTGAATTGCTTCAATCTACCATCTTGCTGAAATCAAATAAATATACTAAATTTTAAAAAAAACTTTAAAAACATTGACAATCTTAAGAGAAAACAGAAAATGGCTAAGTCATTTTTTTATGAAAGCCTGAGAGGTGAGCACTAAGGCCATTTATGCTGTAGTTCAAATCCTTATGCTTCAGGACAATATCTAGCTAAAGAGATGGAAATAGGAATCTGGGGCAGGGTGGGGGGAAAGGGGGGAAGGGGTCACAGAAAGCTGGTGCCCTAATGGTCTTCATCCTCAGGTAAGGATGAACCAGAGCTAGAGCTGATGCCACTCAGAAGGGAGTCAGAAATAAGTCATTCCTGGAAGACTGTGGCCGTGGTTCAGCTCTTGTTTGAATTTATAAATACCATTTTCTTTAATTTCCCTATTATACTGGCTGTAATCTTTTTTTTTTTTTTTTTTTTTTTTTTTTGGCTCAAAGATGTTACGGTTTCTTTTTGTTGTTGTTGTTTGGGGTTTTTTTAGACAGTGTCTCCCTCTATCACCCAGGCTAAAGTAGAGTGGTTTGATCACAGCTCATTGCAGCCTCAACCTCTCAGGCTCAAGCAATCCTCCCACCTTAGCCCCTCAAGTAGCTGGGACCACAGGCACATGCCACCATGCCTGGCTAATTTTTTTTTTTTTTTGGTAGAAATTGGGTTTCTTTATGTTGCCCAGTCTATGGGCTTGATGTTAAAGACTTTGCCATTCTCTTCCCTTTGTTTTATGAATTGACACACCTCAAAATTTCTAAGTAAAATATTTTAATCCTCCAGCCTAGACTGTATGTTAGGTCACAAAACAGCCTTAATCATTTTGAAAGATTAAAATCATACCTATCTTTCCCAAATCACAATGGACTAAAACTGTAAATCAACAGCAAAAGAAAACTAAAATCTCCACAAATATGTGGATATTCAACAACACACTCTAAAGCAAGCGATGAGTCACAGAAGATGTCACAAGGGAAATAATAAAGTATCTTGAGACAAATAAAAATGACAACGCAACATACCAAAATTTACAAGGTGAAAAGAAAGCAGTGCTAAGAAAGAAATTTATAGCTCTAAAGGCTTACATTATAAAAGAAGAAAAATCTCAACTCGAAAACCTAACTTTATACCATAAGAAACTACAAAAAGAAGAACAAACTAACTTCAAAGCTAGCAAATGGTAGGAAATAATGAAGACTACAGCAGGGATAAATAAAGAAGGAAATAGAAAACAGTAGAGAAAATGAACAAAACCAAAAGTTTGTTACTCAAAAAGATGAACTAAGTGGACAAGACTTTAGCTAGATTCAAGAAAAAAGAAGACTCAACTAATTTTCTAGAAATCAGTTTTTTAGAACTTTTTCTACAAACAAAAAGATGATATCTGGAATTCCACATAGACATCTCATCATTGCCTTTCAAAACATTCTTATTGCCTTTGCTCTGGAGCCCAATTTGCCCTAAAATACATGAAAACTGTGGGTGGAAGAAAGGATGCTATAACAAGGACTCTTGAGGGAGTCATAAACCAGCCCAAGGGAAGACTGATCACAACAATCTCCAAGATAAAACTTTAATTGCACCCCTGAATCGCAATGACACTGACTTCGTCATCACCTGCACCCTCTTTCTGAAATCTCTTCATGAGGTTCATATGCCACTGCTTTCAGCTATTTTGCCACAAAAGTAATTAATATATAAAACTCACCTGTTGACCTTTCTCTGCTGGATGAGATAACTGGAAGTTCTGGGTGCCTGGAGGTGATTGAGGTCCTGCATGTAGCCCTTGATGAAAATACCACCCTGTCAGTTGAGGCCCACATCTCAAGAGCTGACCATAGGAGGAGTGTGCTTCTTTCCTGTGGCTACAACTACTGCCCAACAGAATTATCCTATTGCCATAACTGTTTCTTTTGAGCTCTTCAGGAATGCCTTTATAATATTAACATATTTTTGCAAAATTCTGTGAGTTTCTAGACACATGATTTCATGCACAGCATCTCCAATATTACAGTAAGTGTTACAATGAACTGTTGACACCTGTGCCCAGCTACCCAGATCTTCCTCAGCTGAACACTTCCCTAAACGTTCTGGCCTAATAATTTGCAAAGAAATGCCTCATTATTCAGAAATTTGATAAATTACATAATTTGGTATTAGAAGACTGCTTGATGTCATGCTTAATAACTCACTTCCTACAATGCCCCGATTAAATATAACTTATTCCCATTACTTTTATGCACATCCCAGAAAATGTAATGCCCTTTAATACTTAATTTTCTGCCTTTTGAATTATTAACACTACTGTGTTTTTATATCTTCTTTCTTTATGTCAGACAAAGCTGTATATTTCTAAGTGCCAGAATATATAAGAAGGTCAGAAAAATAAATCTAAACAACTAAAAGGAGCTGCCCATAGCTTCACTATGAGATAAATGGGAACTGAGTGACTTTTTAATCTAGTCATTTAGTTTCACTTAAATTCATTGGATGGGGGCAAAGGATGAAACCTGTAATCCCAACACTTTGATGGGCCAATGGTTCTCCAGGATGAAGAACCTGTTGAGAACCTTTCTCTACAAAACATTTCACAATTAACCTGGCATGGTGGCATACATCTATTGTCCCAGCTACTCAGAGGGTTGAGGCAGTAGGATCACTTGAGCTTGGGAGGTCAAGGCTGCAATGAACTGTGATCCCACCACTGCACTCCAGTGTGGGTGAAAGAATAAGGCCCTGTCTCAAAAATAAATGAATAAATATTAAAAATAAATGTATTGTTTTTCATTTAGGTTTTAAATGATTGTGCTAAAAAACTACACTAGTTACTTTGTCATTATATTTATTAGTATTAGTCTTATGAACACTAATAGCTATAAATGTTGCAGGTCCTAATATATTCCAGGAACTGTACTAGGCACTACAACATGTACTAGGAAACTGTACTTCAACAATATTTTCACAAAAGCTCAGCAAAATAGATGGTATCTTGCCACAGGCACATAGTATGTTGTACAGTATTTGAACTCAAGTCAATCTTACTTTATCATTTATTTTCTTTTAAGTAAAGTATATAACAGGATGACTTTGTTAAGTATTACTGGAGTGAATCAATCAGTTGTGAACCTAATGTAACTGTGGTATGTCACCACATAGACTACTACAGTGAGTGTTCTCTTCCTTCCTCACCAAACTATGTGCTTACCTCATAAAACTATGCTCCCAGTTCTTCCTAAGGAGCAGCTCATTTTTCTTTCTAGTTCATATGTGTAGCTGCTGCATCCCACAACTGTACTATCCAACTTTATGTGGTAACATCCAGCATGTACAATCATCTCTGATGTGTACAATTCAGTGTTGAAAAATTGAGAAGGAAAACTGGCCAGGTGTGGTGGTTCATGCCTGTAATCCCAGCACTTTGGGAGCCCCAGGCAGGTGGATCACTTGAGGTCAGGGGTTTGAGACCAGCCTGGCCAACACTGCAAAATCTTATCCCTGTCAGGCGTGGAGGCTCACGCCTATAATCCCAGCACTTTGGGAGTCCAAGGCAGGCAGATCACGAGGTCAGGAGATCAAGACCAGCTGGCTAACATGGTGAAACCCTATCTCTACTAAAAATACAAAAAATTAGTCAGGCATGGTGGCACAAGCATTGTGATGGAGTTTGTTCTTCTTGGCTTTCCTGGTTGTCAGGAGATGCAAAGTTTCCTCTTCTGACTATTTTTTATGATCTACATATTTACCATGATAGGAAACAGGAATGTTGTCTGTGCTGTGCGATTGGACAAACGGCTCTGTACCCCAATGTATAT